ACTTCGCGGCTCCAAGCTTCAGGCTTCAACCCTTGAAGGTGAAAAAACCTGTTGAACGGCCAACAGCTGCACAGTGTAAACCAAGACGTCGGACGCGCAAAGCATCAGGCAGAGGCAATACATGTAAAAGTTGGAACAGGGCTGCGTGTGCGAACCAGAGGAATACTTTATTACCCTAGGCTTAAGATCCGGAGCCATGTTTCAATCGCTTTAACAGGCGCCATCTCCGAAAAGCTTGCAATTCCCCCNNCCCCCCCCCCCCCCCCGCCCTCCGGCTTTCCACCGCCACTGCAATTAGTGCTAGCTGCTAGCTGAAGTTGCTCTGCTCACAAAGGCCCTGTGCCTGCAGGCACTAGCAAAGACCTGACATATTGGAATCGGCAGAACGGAAGCTGTCCTGTAGCAGGCTTCTTCTGGAGCTTCGAGTCTTTTCCTGAGTTCAAGCTGAATTCAGGCGCCAATACTTGAAGACAGAAGGTAAGAGACGAAAGTCTGCAGCAAATTCTGGATCTGACTCGAGCAAACAGCTCAGGAAACGACAAGCTCGCTGCAGACTTTCTGGATGTCCTGTCGTTGAAAACAAAAGCTCAGCTGCAGGGGCTGCCATCCCAGAACTGTTCAATGTCCTAGTACGCTACAAGGAACGATGGGAGCTGCACGGCTGGCCTCGGCCTGTGACTTTGCGGTCTGGAGCTCGTGCTGCTTGGCAGCGACCTACTTCGCATTTGCTATCGCTGGCATGCCTGTCTCGGTTTTCATCACTGCTGCCGTCCTTGACTTATAACCTTGCAACTCGTGCCCCAATCGCTGCTGCATTCTGCCACATGTTCTGCGACTCCGGTCATCACCACTTAGGACCGCGGCATCTCGCTCCAGCTCGTCTGCAGTCTGCGCATACCGAGTGCGTGCCTCTTAACGGATGCGAGGCGGGCAGTTTCCAGCTGATGCTAGCTTCAAGGGTTGTACACGATGCTCGAATTAGGTCTGTGCACCGATCGACGCCGTGAAGGGACAGTCGATTTCAAGAACGCATGTGGCTGTTACCGTGGTTTGTGGTTTTGGCTCCGGGGGACTGTCTTGAACACGATTTTGCATTTGAGGACAAAAGCACAGCAAATACCGTTGAATCTGGCTCCCTCCCGAATCACGACATCC